AAAAAAATAAAATAATTTAATTAATTCAATATAAAAAATAAAAAAATTATTTAGTTTCGGTTCTTATTCGGTTCTTCGGTTCTTGGTCTAGACCCGAGACCCGACCCAAACCCATCGATTCTCGATTCGGGTACCCGTTCGAGTATTTAATTTACGAAGAACCGTTCGATTCGGTTCGGTTTGGTCCGGTTCGGATCGGGACTTTTGGACACCCTTAAGGGTTAATGATTTAATTAATATATCATTGCTCTAAAATAAAAAGTTAAATAATTTATCGATTGACTAATAAATAAATATTAATGATGATTAATTAGAACTGAATATTAACATGTGCAATATTCTCAATATTTTTACTAACAAACCAGTTCTTAAAAATCTGATTCAAACCCGAGTCTATATTAGCTCGACTTGTCTGAATTTTGATCGGTTCGTAAATTAGTTCGTCGAGCCAAACAACTCAGTCTACGAGCTGATTAGTAATTCATTATCGAATTGACAATTTGATTCTAAGGGTTATAATTATGGATTTAAGGATGACCCTCATTTAAGAATTTGATTCATGTGCTTAGATGTGAGTTGAATAGTCATCCAACATTTCACTTTAGTGATTGAACCTATTTTTTAGGGTTTCAAGTTTTTGTCACTGAATTTTAATTTACTTCTTTAATATAAGCATTTTATTTATAATTAACTACCAGATTATCAAAAGTGTTGAGCCATCATCATTGCAATTCTAGTGGAGCCCTGCTACCATTACAGAATGAGACTTCACAGAAGCCCCACAGATCACACACATAAGGAGGGGCGGAAAAATTTTGAATCAATTTTTAATCATGTGGGTCCCGCATCGGGACCCACCTCGTGTGAGGGTCGATAAGCCTTCTGTGATCCGACCCTTAGTACATATAGATTAATCCATTCTAGTGATGATAGTGAAGAAAGGGCCTTTGAGAGAAATAATGTTATTTAGTATTATTGGTGTTAAAACATCTTCTAGTGATTCTCATATGACATTAAATAAGATGGACAATCACGTTAGTCACTTAAATTCCACATTTTATCGATCCCATTACGTAGTACCATTTAAATTGGTGTTATAGCACCAATGAGACTAAATAACATTATTCTTTAGAGAGTGGAGAAGAAGAAAGATTACATTATTATACACGTGACACTAACGAGATAATAACAAAAATATATGCTCATACAATTTTTCATGTCATAAATTTTAGGTAGAATTGCACACACGATTCCAAACCTTTCATTTTGTCTTAAGGTTTATACAAACATATACTTTGTGTCTCCCATAATCTAATGTCATAATTTTTAGGTAGAATTGCACCCACGATTCCAAACCTTTCATTTTGTCTTAAGGTTTATCCAAACATTTAGTTTGTGTCACCCATAATCTCAAACATTTCATTTTGTTGCAGCACAAGACAAGAGCGGAGCCAGCATTCACTCTTGGTGGGGGTCAAATTTAACTACAAATATTTTTTCTAAATAAGACAATGTAGTATTAAATCTCATAAGTAGGAATGTCAAAGAGACAAATATGAGGCGAGTCGATCATTCCCACCTCGTCCCGTTGGGATATTTTTGTCACCTTTTCATCTACATACCCTATTAAAGTGGGATAGGGCAGGATCGGGATGGGTGGGACAAGCCTCATGTCCCATTTATTTATTTTGTTTCTTACTTTTATTTATTTTATGTTTTTAGTTAATAAATATTATTACTTTTGTTTCAATTTGTTAAGAACAATTTATACTTTCTTTAAAAATAACGATAAATTTTTTTCTATTTGATAAAAAATTTAAATTTAAAATTAACTTTAAATGAGGGTGAGTATTACGTTTCACGTACTGCCCCGTACCTACTTTGGGGTAATGATCTCTCCCCATTTACTCAATTAGGCGGATAATCTCCGTCTCATACGGGACGAGGCCTCACATGTATCGGATTAAACGATTTTTTTTTATCCCTACTTATACCTACAATTGTTTTTTATTAGTTTCCATACTTTCAATATGTCATATAATATATTCATTATTAATTTCTTTGAGTAATTTTTTTTTTTTAATTTACATAATGAAATTGTCATTTCCTACTACTTTATTTCTTTATAAGTTTTTAATTTTATCGAATTACATAAATGTAATAAACCATACAAATCTTTAAAAAAATTATGAAAAGAGGAGGAAAAAAATACCGTAGGGAAGATAAATCAATGCAAGATATAGAATAATACATGGTCAAACTTTGATTATTTTTCCTGAGTTTTAATACATTAGTCAACTTTGGAAATCTGGTCAAATAATGAATAATTGGTCAATTATGTCATACAAACAAAAAGGAAAAAATAACAAAAATAACAAAAAAAAAAAAGAAAGAAAGAAAGAAGAGAACTGAATAGCGGTGAATAAAATGGATTAAATAGGTGGATGATCCCACCATATGCATATATAATTTTAATTTATTTTTCTTGGCATTTTGGGAAGCATCTGGAGAGTACAAATCGGAGAGCGAAAAGAGAAATGGGAGAAGAAAACAGAGTGCAAGAGGTAGAAACAGAAACAGAAGTAGAAATGTGGTATGAGAAAACTCCAGGAATGACACAGTGGACTCTCTTTTTGTTCATAATGAAAAGGCATGGGATTGTGATAAACTTAGAGCTCTTTTCAACTCGAGTATTGTTTCTGATATTGAAACAAATTATCTCAGCTCAGACGAAATTGAAGACAGAATGTTCGGTCCCTTGAAAGAAGTGGCTATTTTAGCGTTCGTAGTTGCTATAGAATGATATATAATTACATTGGACAGCGGCAAGCTGGCTCATCAAAGGGCTCAACTGAGAAACTACTGTGGAAACATTTGTGGAAGATGAAAGTGTTGTATAAGGTAAAGGTTTTTGCNGAGAACTGAATAGCGGTGAATAAAATGGATTAAATAGGTGGATGATCCCACCATATGCATATATAATTTTAATTTATTTTTCTTCGCATTTAATTGGAGAGAGAAAAGAGAAATGGGAGAAGAAAACAGAGTGCAAGAGGTAGAAACAGAAACAGAAGTAGAAATGTGGTATGAGAAAACTCCAGGAATGACATAGTGGACTCTCTTTTTGTTCATAATGAAAAGGCATGGGATTTTGATAAACTTAGAGCTCTTTTCAACTCGAGTATTGTTTCTGATATTGAAACAAATTATCTCAGCTCAGACGAAATTGAAGACAGAATGTTCTGATCCCTTGAAAGAAGTGGCTATTTTAGTGTTCGTAGTTGCTACAGAATGATATATAATTACATTGGATAGCGGCAAGCTGGCTCATCAGAGGGCTCAACTGAGAAACTACTGTGGAAGATGAAAGTGTTGCATAAGGTAAAGGTTTTTGCGTGGAGAGCATGCAAAGATAGGCTATCCACAGCTCTAAATCTGGAGAAAAAACATATCATAAGGCTGAATATTTGCAGTCTATGTAATTCAGAAACTGAGGACCTGAACCATGCTGTGATAAATTGCAAAATGCTCAGAGGGGTTTGGAATAATTTCTTCCCTGAACTGGTCAACAATGACTGCAGACCAATCAAGGATAAGGCACTTGCTTTATGTGAGAATAATGAAGTATTAAAGCTGGACACTTTCTTCATGCTGCTTTGGAGTTTTTGGTTCAGAAGGAATAAATATGTGCACGAGAAAATTTGGCTGGATCTAAGAAAGATAGCTGATAATGCTTTGGGTATGTTAGAGAGTTTCAATAAAGCAAGGAAGACAAATTGTGCTCAGATCCGAAAACATTTCAAATGGACACCTCCAGATCTAAACTTTCTGAAATTAAATGTGGATGTGGAAACATTTCAAGAATTGGAGAAAGCTGGAATAGGGGCTGTCTTAAGGGATTCTTCCGGTAAGGTAATTATGGCAATGTCCAAGATTGAAATAAGGGTCGAAGAGAGTGAAGATATCGAATTGTTGGCCATTTTTAGAGGTTTGCAGCTATGTGTCAATATGGGAATCCAAAACCTTTTGGTGGAAAGTGATAGCAAGTTGGTTGTTGAAGCACTTCAAACAGAAATCATGCTTAACTCTACTTTAGGAGTGTTGTACCAAGAAGTGAAACATTTAGCCACCCAATTTGTTAACTGCAAATATTCCCATATCTACAGGAAATGTAATATGGTGGCTCATAAGCTAGCTAGGCATGCTAAATTGGTCGATGATATTTGTGTTTGGTTGGATAGTATTCCAGACTGTGTTTCTCAAGCTATTTGACTTGATAATCGTCTATAATCGGTTTATCCGTTTGATTAATGAACGTTTTCTTCATATAAAAAAAAAAAAAAAACAGAAGCAGAAGCAGAAAGGAAAAAAATACTGGAAGAAGAAAAAGAAGAAAAGATAGGCAACATTGTCTGTTGTTGGATTCGAGTAAGTACAAAATTTTGAACATAAAAGTATTTTGTCTAATTTTATTACTTTGCTTGGTCTCAATTCTTTTATTTACGAGGCAAAAGAAAACTAAGTAAAGAGAGATGGGGAAATATTTGATCTTACCACAATTTTGATTAATTTTAAAAGGGGGGTGACTTTACATTTTTCACATAAAATATTTAAAGAAGAAAATAAAAAACAAAAGAGAAAAGAAAGAAAAGAAAAAAGTTCTTCTTCTCACACCAACTCGCCCACCTACCCAACCTTGAACAAAAAAAAAAAAAAACTCATCCATCCATATTCGAACCACCGTCTTCGTTGCCGTCGCCTCTTCCTCCACAAATCCTCTTACTTCTACTTGAAATCTGTTTCTTTATTCTCCAATGGCTTCGTCCCTTACTAATTTTCTCTTTTATCTTTTTCCTCATTGCCACCCTCTCCTTCGCCGTGTATACTCATGCACGAGACATACAATCTTCAACAAATTCCCTAGCGGCACAACTTCCACCGCTACCAATGTCATCAGAATTACCCAAAGCCCAAACACTAACAAGGAAGAACCCAACAATCTATTAGCAAGACTCCAATTTCCTTCCTGAAAATGAAAATGTCTATGGCCTTTATGGTCATTTTTTGTTATCAGTGACACTTCTATTGATCAAATTTCGAGTAGGGTGCAACGAAGATTTAGGGGAAATTGCAACAACTGCATCTCTGCTACAATTCATAAAGATTGGATCTAGATTTCGATTGCAAGAATGCCAAGCCCAACAACCTCATTTGACTCTTCAAATATCTTCATATATTTGTTGGTCCTGTTTGGTTTTGTATTATCGACAATTTCTTCATTTTCCTTCTAACTTCAGCAATTTTTACACTCTACAAAAAGAGTGAAAAATTATTGGTGGGTGATGCTCTATGATATAAATTGTGGATTATGACGGTCGATCAATTGAATACAAGAGCTCGACTGTCTTTATGCTAGCTCGACTATCTATGCTAACCTAACTGTCGCTATGCTTGCTTGACTATCACAATGCTAGCTCGACTACTGCTATGCTAGCTTGATTACCATTATAATAGACATACCACTATTATCCCATCCGCTCGGACATACTTTAAATTGATTGAAAATCGTTTGACGGTTATTACTGATTTCACTATCCAATTTGTAGGTGGAGGTTAACTGCTTAGCATGTGGATTAAAATCGCCTAGTGAGTGTGATGTAGGATCAATTGGAATTCTAACCAATAACTAGAAGAAAAGCAGAAGAAGAAAAAGAAAAATCAGGGGGAAGGAGAAGAAAATGTTGGTCGCCAATCTTAATTTCATTCATTCATTAACTGTTCCCATTACAATGTAAAAATCATATAAATAGTAAAACCTAACCCTACTAGTGAATGGATTGGACGAACCCAATAAGACAAGTCAAATAATAGAAAATATAAATAATAAAAATCCACAATAAAAATAAATCTCGATGGGCAAACCCAATAATAGAAAACATAAAAATCCACAAAAAAATAAATGTCTGCATCAACTCTCCCGTGGTGGGAGAAAAACTAGACAACGTCGAGTGGATAAGTCATAAGAGGCCGTAATCAATCGCCCAACCATAAACTAAGAGGTTGAACGAGCTTTTTCAGACGTCCATAAAAGCATATTAGTGGCGTTTTGAATCTGGTGTCCCCACCAATTTCCCTTGAATGTGTGGAAGGAGAATTAAGCAAAGGAAGATCTTACTGACTCTGATAGAGCTTCAATAAAATTGGGTCAAGCTCCTGGAGTATCTCTCGAGTAATCCATGTACAGTCAGACTCAAGCCGATCAACCCAACAAGCAAGGAAGCGTTGAACCTCTCCATCTTTAGTCAACACAATCTATTCATCTAAAAATAGCATTAATTTTGTCTTTGTGTGCTAAGAAATGTTTTATTGGGTTAGAGGGGGCAAAAGATTTAGGGTTAAGGTCCACAGATGGAGATAGAAGAGGATCATCAGACGGATTGAAATGACCTTTATAAGTAACTAAATCCTCAACATTGAAAGTAGAGTGGTAACCAAGATGTGGCGAAAGATCAAGAGCATATGCATTTGGTCCAACTTGCTTTAAAATTTTGAAAGGACCAGCACTACGAGCTTGCAATTTGGAGGCAGATCCATGGAGACGCCGCTCCGGTCTTATTCGGATCATAACATAATTCTCAATATTAAAATCAACATGTCTTTTTTGGAAATTAACTTGAAGTTTATATGATGCATTGTTAGTTTCAAGTTGTTAATTGATCTCAATATGCAAGTCATGGAGATGTTGTGCAAATGCTTCAGTCGACATAAACACTCAAGCATGCAGAGACATCGGAATGAGATCTAAAGGCTTCTTAGACTTAAAACCATGAACAACTTCAAATGGAATCATACCTCACGATCGATTCATGAAACTATTATATGCAATTTGAGTTGTAGGAAGAATCAAATCCCAATTTCTAAGATTTTCTTGGACCAAACATCTTAATAAATTACCAAGACTACGGTTAACCACTTCCATTTGACCATCAATCTAAGGGTGATAGGCAGTAGAAAATTTCAATTTTTTGCCAACCTTTTGCTACAACGTTCTCCAAAAGTGACCAGTGAATTGAACATCTCTATCTGACACAATGATTTTAGGAAGACCATATAATTTGGCAATTTCATTAAAGTATAATGTGGCAACATTGGATGCATACGAGGTTTTACTATAAGGAATAAAATGAGCCATTTTGGAGAAACGATCTAGTAACACAAAAATAGAATCATGCTTCTTCGGGGTATGTGAAAGTCCTAGCATAAAATCTATACTCACATCTTGCCAAGGGAAATTAGGAACGAGAAGAGGTGTGTACAGACCAATGTTTTGCCTCTTCTGTTTAGCCAACTAACAGGTGTTACAAGTACTAACTATCTTAACCACATCTTTCTTTAAACTAGGCTAATAGAATTGATGTTCAATCTCTTCTATGGTCTTACACACCTAGAATGATCGGCTAAGCCCCCCGTAGAAATTTCCCATACTATAAAGTCCCGCACTGAAGTTCGAGGGATACACAATTTATTGGCTCTAAAAAGGTAACCCTCCTCAAGGCGAAAGCCATTCGCAGTATCCGACCGTCTTCCTTGCAAATCAAGAAAAATATCCTTAAAATCGAGACATTTTCGTATTTCTCCTTAAGTCTTTGAAAATTTATGACCTTGACACTCATGATCGAAAAAAGGGAAATACGACGACTTAATGCATCAATTACTTGATTCTCAACACCCTTCTTATGTTTCAAAATAAAAGAATAGACCTGCAAATATTCAATCCAGGGACCATACCTAGAATTCAACTTTTTATGGGCGTTGAGATAACGGAGAGCCTCATCGTCCGAATAAAGAACAAATTCTTGGGATAGCAAATAATGGCGGCAATAGCGCAAAGCCTGTAAGACTTCATACAACTCCTTATCATAAGTCTAGTACCGTTGTTTGGCATCATTTAACTTCTCGCTGAAATAAGCGACATGGTGGCTTTTCTAACTAAGGACTCCACATATTCCTATCGTGGACGCATCACACTTGGCCTCAAAAACTTTGGAGAAGTCAGGAATGCGCATGACATGAGCTTCCGTCATTCGCTTCTTGACTAGCTTAAAAGCCTTAGTCGCTTCTAGTATCCAATGAAACTCCATTTTTTTGCATGCACTCTGTTCACCAAAATATGTTTTGAATTTAAATCCCGCAAGTGCACGGTTCGTTCACAAGTAATAAAGTGAAAATCAAGAATTTCGAGTATCGTTCCCACGAGAATTGATTTAAAGTAATTTTTATTATGTCGACCTTAATCGAATCTATTAAACTCAAGATAGTTGATGATTTGAATCTTATAATTAAACTATGACTAAAATGTAAATTAAACTAAAATTACGAACTAAATACAAATGTGATGGTTGAATGCAAAAGTTGAAGAAATTAATGTATGAAAAAGCGTACTAAGATCCCGAATCACCAAACAAAGTTCACCCTTAACCTCTATTTCACAATTTGACAACACGAGGAATTGGTTGAAGAATCAATGTTTCTAACCTATCCAACAATCTCTTTCGAATAGAATTGAATCTATTCTAGTATATCATTTGACTATATTTTTATGACAAATGTAATATACAAGAATGTATGAAGTGTTGTAAATACTTAGAAATTCACGTAATGCATATCGGTATATTTCTATCCTTTATGAACAAAACGATGATTTATACCTTGTCAAGTTTATTTTCCTTCTTTCGAATGCATAAAATAAACCACCCAAACTCACACAATTAACTTGCACTATAATCATGGAGGCAAGAAAGTGTATATAAATCATTCAGCATCCATCAAACGTGTTTGAATATCAAATTGTAAAATAGAAATTAAAAGATCACAATACGAGGTTCATCGTTCACCTAGTACATGAAAAGTCTAGCCTAACATGGATAAAATAAAAAAAA